GGTGTTGTGTTGCCCTCAGCCTTCAATACTTTAGGAATAACTGCCCACGTGTGATCTATTTAGTAGTGTTTGAAAGCACTCATTTAACTTCATCTTGCTTTTCTAGTTATTTAAATTTAACAAGTTTTATAGGCTACGGGTAGGAGACTAGATTACCCTCATTTTGTTTAATTAAGTTATACATGACTTACGCTAAGTCTTATAGCATCTTTACAAAATGAACAGTTAAGAATCACATAGCTTTTATTTATTTATTTTTTAAAGATTTTTATTTATTTATTCACGAGAGACAGAGGGAGAGAGAGAAGCAAGGGAGAAGCAGGCTCCCAAGGAGCAGGGAGCCCGATGCGGGACTCGATCCCAGGACCCTGGGATCATGATCTGAGCCGAAGGCAGACACTTAACCATCTGAGCCACCCAGGCGCCCTATTTTTTTTTCTAAAGATTTTATTTATTTGACAGAGAGAGGGACAGCGAGAGGGAACGCAAGGAGGGGGAGTGGGAGAGGGAGAAGCAGGGTTCCGGCCCAGCAGGGAGCCCGATCCGGGGCTCAATCCCAGGACACTGGGATCGTGACCTGAGCCGAAGGCAGACACTGAACAACTGAGCCACCCAGGCGCCTCAGATAGCTTTTACTTTTTAAGATTAGGTACAAAAACTCTGTTCAGGTAGTTTGCTATCCTACTGCTAAAAGGTGAGAAAAGCATGTTTTTTTGGAGCAGCCTCTAGTCCAGTGCCGAGATAATCACAGCAGATGAGGCTCCAAAACGGGCTTGGCTTAGCATATTTTCCCCTTCTAGAACACAGTCATAAAATGCTCCAAGTCCTCACTGTTATTCATGTACCTACACCGAGCTGAACCCTCATGGGAACCGTTCGTCCCCTTGCCCCTTATCTCTTCCGGGCTGAAGTCTCGCTCTTTCTACCGACAAAGTGTAGCAACCACTTAGGTAAGAGAGGATCCCCAAACCAAAATGAATCTGTGCCATTAAAGTGAGGCTTGGCTATCTAGGCATGGCTTTTTTTTTTTTAACCCCCCAGATTAGGGGGAATAATAAACTATGTACAGTGACGAAACATGATGGTAATATTGAAGTTTGAAAACCCAGGCGGGGAAGGTTTTGAATGAAGTTGCGAATAAGCGGCCTTTTTCTTTCATTTGACAGACTCCGCGCCGGCTCTACCACGTGTTCCTCTCCCGCCTCACACTCTCCCAACGGCGCCCACCTTTCTGTACGGAAACATGGCGCCGCCCTGAGTGGGGCGGGCACCACCTGGCTCCGAGCCACCGCCCACTAAGCCTCGTCAGCCGACTCGGAGCCTGCCTCTCGCATCTCCGTACAGAAACATGGCGCCTCCCGGCTCGACCTCCCGCCCATTGAGCATCCTCTGCCCGTACGAGACCGCGCCTCCCGCCTTTCCGTACGGAAACATGGCGCCGCCCTACGAGGGGCGGGCACCTCCCGGCTAAAGGGCTGCCTCCTCCTTCCCGACGCTTGAGGAGCGGCCGCACTGGCCGCTACCCACCGGAGCCGGGCTGGGAGGACGGCCCACAGCGCGGCGAGGGATGCGGCCTCGGAAGGGCAAAGGCTGAAGTGTCCCGTGCTCGCCGCGCATCGCTCCGCGCCTCCGCTGCCCGTCTCATTCCCCGCCCAAGCGGCAGGAGGAACTCCGTGGCAGGTGAGGGAAGCGGACGCAGAGGCTGGCAGCCCAGCGGGGCCCGCACGGGAGGCGCCAGGTGGAAATCACAGGCATTTCTTCGCCTCCTCAGGGCAGGTCGGGCCCCGTGCTGTCGGGTGGAGGCAGGGACGGCGGCGGGGTGCGCGTAGGGCGGCCTTTGTCCCAGCCCTCGAGGCCGTGCTCCTAGCGCGCCCCTCTGCCATCGCTTGCTGCCGGCCCGCCACTCCCTCGCCGGCCGGAACAGTTGTTTACAACGGAATCCGGGCGCTAAGCGTGAGTGGCGCTGGGTGCCGGAGGGAGCGGCTCCGGGCGTCGGTGGGCAGAGCGCCTTTCCTTTGCTGAGAGACCCTTTCTGCTGGGCAGTCTCTTGTGGCAGCTTTAGGGCCCGGCGTGTAGCTCGGATAGAAGGTCTTTAGGACCAGTGCGAGGATCCTCCTACCCCCGGTTCCCTTCCAGGCGGAGGAGTTGGTGACTGTTGAATGAATGAGCACGCTGTAAGCAATCCATGGTTCCTGTAGCTACCAGTTCCGGTAATTATAGCTCCCCTTTGTGGAAAGCCTGTAGTGTACCAGCTGCACATTCTGTCGTCTCATCTTCCCCCCAAATCGAAGAAGTAGGTAGCTGCATTTTACAGATGAGGAAACTGAAGTTCCCCAGCTAGTAAAGAGCCAAAATTGGAACCCAGGTACGTCCTGAGACCAACGCCCCTCCTTCGCCCACACGCTGACATCAACAGAGACGACACCGCTGTCACCAAATACTTAGTGGGCATCTGTTTGGAACATAGACTTACACGGATGGAGCCTATGTGGGAAATATGGTTGGTGTTGGGCATGAAGAAGTTAAAAATCTAGGTGAAGAGTTGTTTTTAATAAAACTAGCAATTTTACAGGCTCCCCCCAACCCACCTTTCCCTCTTCATCACCTGCCACTAGTTTTCTCATTTCCATGTGCCTTCACATGTGCCCTCTGAGTGAAATGCCCCCCTTTCTACCTCCTCTTTCACTCTAGACATTTTTTAATTGGGTGAAATACTGCTCTTTTCAAAAGAACAGCTCCAGGGGCACCTGGGTGGCTCAGTCGTTAAGCGTCTGCCTTCGGCTCAGGTCATGGTCCCAGGGTCCTGGGATCGAGCCCCGCATCGGGCTCCCTGCTCAGCGGGAAGCCTGCTTCTCCTTCTTCCCCTTCCCCTGCTTGTGTTCCCTCTCTCGCTGTGTCTCTGTCAAATAATAAATAAAATCTTAAAAAAAAAAAAAAAAACAGCTCCAATGTCCCCCTTTCCGGGAAGGTTATCCTAGCCTCCTTCTAGGAGGAATTCCTTAATCCCTCTACTGTGTTCCCTCAGTGGTTTCATCATGCCACCAAAGCTTAAGCTTCACTCCGTTTCCTTGTGAGCATCTTTCCCTCTCCAGACCTATTTAAATAAGTGTATGTTGAATTGGATCTAAGGCAATGATGCATGCCAGATGTGCAGTCACTAGCCCGACAAGAGTTCAGAGAAAGGTGCAGACACTGTGGGGAAGTGTCCTGGGAGGAGTAGGACTGGAGCTGAATCTTAAAAGGTGGGGTTTATTAAACTGAGCGTTAGAGAAAAGCATGCCTTCCTCCTCACTGCGCAGTTAAGGGTTACTTCATCCTTTCTGAGCTCATTCTCAGCATGTGAAGAGGATAAAATTAGAAGTATGTGTTTGTCCTTTCTCATAGAATATGCTGGCAATGTTATCTTTTGGGTCTTGGAGCCTATCCAGAGCCTAATAGGATTTAGGACAGAGGAGATGGGTGTCTGGAGTGGGATGTTGGAAGGTAAGGGGAACTGCATTAAAGCAACCTTCATATTAATAATACAGGCCTGGAGGGGCGCCTGGGTGGCTCAGTCATTAAGTGTCTGCCTTCGGCTCAGGTCATGATCCCGGGATCGAGCCCCACATCGGGCTCCCTGCTCAAGCGGGAGCCTGCTTCTCCCTCTCCCACGCCCCCTGCTTGTGTTCCCTCTCTCGCTGTCCCTCTCTCTGTCAGATAAATAAATAAAATCTTTAAAAAATAATACAGGCCTGGAAATGTCAATTCCAGTAACTTCATTCTACTTAATGGAGGGATCTGAAAGTTCAGATAATTATATCAAGTGATTCTTCTCTAATGTGCAAAAGAGTCTGCCAGGGGGCACCTGGGTGGCTCAGTTGGTTAGGCGACTGCCTTCGGCTCAGGTCACGATCCCAGAGTCCTGGGATCGGGCCCCGCATCGGGCTCCCTGCTCGGTGGGGAGTCTGCTTCTCCCTCTCCCACTCCCCCCGCTTGTGTTCCCTCTCTCTCTGTCTCTGTCTCTGTCAATTAAATAAATAAAATCTTAAAAAAAAAAAAAAGTCTGTCAGACCTTTTGGAAGCAGTCAACATTTTTCATCCCTGGATTACCCTCCAAGGTATCTAATAAAGACTAATTAGTGTTTATGACAATGTTTTGTGATCTCCAAGTGCTGATGGTACAAATGCTAATTATTTGCAGTATTGTGAATGCAGGAACATTGTGTCTGTCTTCTCCCTTAATTAGAAACACCTTAGGAAGAGAACTCTAGGAAAAAACTCGGGGGTAAAAAACTTTTACAGTAAAAAGAGGCTACAATTTCAGGCCCCCTTTTTTTTTTTTTAACTGGCCCAGACCAATGTGTTAAATATTATTCCTGTTCTAACCAGCAACTTAAAAAATTAAAACCCCACCCAACCCCATACATTGTGGTTGTTTGCAACGTCCTCCTTACCATCTTTTCCTGCTGACTGGCAAGAAGTTAATAAAAATATTTGCCCCACATATTCTTACATGCTTTGTAAGATTCTGCCTTCTATATGTCATCCCTAGTTATTCACAAAACAGAATCAGAGAACCAGCTCCTCAGCCCAGTGTCTTCATTTGGAAGCAAAGTTAAAAAAGCATGATTTCCAAAGACTTTTCATATCCACTCTCAGAAATGAAAGTAAAGAATTGAAGAATTGAATCTTTGATTAAAACAGAAGCAGGCAGTTGTTAGTATTATCTTCCAACAATGTAAGGTCCTGTTTTCTTTTGACATGGCACTTAGGAGTGGGACAAAAATATTCAAACTTGTCACTCTCTGAGGTATAGGTCCATAAATTTGATAAATCGTAAGTGTCATTTTACACGTATCTGTTTAATCATTGAGGTAGAATATGATAGCTGGATAAGATCTTCCCAAGCCCATTCATTCTTACAGGTGAGAAAATTGAAACCCAAAGAGAATAAATGATTTGCCGAGTCCTACTGCTAGTTAGTGACAGAGTCAGAGCATTTGGTTCACTTTTGTTTTTTCTCTCCTAGGAAAGTAAATAAACTTAGTTGAGAATGTCCGAAAACCCTGGCAAGCCCAATATAAATGAAGCCGGAAAATCAAAATCGAATGATTCTGAGCAAGACCTTGAAGATGCTGTGGAAGGTTCTGATGAAGCTGTACAGAAAACAATAAAGTCGGTCTCTCCCAGCACCCAAAGAGTGCAAAGACCTCACTGTAAGCAAATTTGACTTTGGTTAGAAGCCATAGTATCATTGTTTTCAGATGATATTTTGATTAGGCTTCCTTGTACTTGTGGCCCTGAGCTGGGTTCTAATATGATAACATTGCTGATAACTAGTATTTAAGAAAAGCCAAGTTTCTCAACTGGCAGCCTAGTCACTTGTGGAGTTTCTTTTTTTTTGTTTTTAAGATTTTATTTATTTGAGAGAGAGAGAGAAAGCGCATGGTGGGGAGTGGCGCATGGTGGGGAGTGGCGGAGGGAGAGAGGAGACTCCCTGCTGAGCAGGAAGCCCTGCGGGGCTGATCCCAGGACCCAGAGATCCTGACCTGAGCGGAAGGCAGACGCTTAAATGACTGAGCCACCCAGGCGCCCCCACTTGTGGGTTTTCAATTGCTTGAGAAATTAAAATTTTAGGATCATGTCCAGAATATTCCTGTTTTCCTGCAGTCTCTGTGGCATTCCACATTCTCTGAAGTGCTCTGAGAAATAGGGTGGAGTGCAAATTGTAGCTTTAATTTAAAAAGCATCTGAAAAGCGTGAGGCAGGTTCCAGCCAGGACTGTGCTTGTGCAGGTTAAAAAAGAAATAGGTTTTGAATGTGAGTGAGGTCACCACACCCTAACTCCATTGCCTGGGGGCTTAGTTCCCACGAGGTTGAGGGGATTCAGTTTGCTGAATGTGTGGTGAAGTCATTTCAGATCCCTGGCAGGGAGCAGGGCCTCAAGGATGAAAGGGTGGTAATTTCCGCAAGTATTCCCAGCAGTCACCCCAACTCATGTCTTTTATTAAGAATACTTAAGCTTTTTGAAGTGAGTCCAAAAATGAAAGTTATAAGAGGGAGTGTCATAGTCTAAGAATGTCAGTGCTGATGTTATCTCTTTAAAGTGTAGATGATCAGTAGTTCTTCATATTTGAAAGAAATATGAACATTTTTGGGGTTTCAGATGTGTTTCTTTTAAAATGATCAAAGCTCTTCCCCGGGTAATTTATTAGTCCACACAGTATTCTTTTCTTTTTAAAGATTTTATTTATTTATTTGACAGAGACAGCGAGAGAGGGAACACAAGCAGGGGGAGTGGGGAGGAAGAAGCAGGCTTCCCGCCAAGCAGGGAACCAGATGTGAGGCTCCATCCCAGGACCCTAGGACCATGACCTAAGCCGAAGGCAGACGCTTAATGACTGAGCCACCCAGGCGCCCCCCCCTTTTTTTTTTAATTAAGGAAGCTTTATGCCCAGTGTGGGGCTTGAACTCAGGACTCTGAGAGGAAGAGTTGCATGCTTTACTGACTGAGCCAGCCAGACGCCCTTCAACATAGTATTTTTTTTTTCCTTTTTAGATTTTATTTATTTGAGAGCGAGAGAGAGCATGGGGTGGAGTGGGGAAGTTGCCAAGGGAGAAGTAGACTTCCTGATGAGCAGAGAGCCCAATGCAGGGCTCAATCCCAGGACCCTAAGATCAGGACCTGAGCCAAAGGCAGATGCTTAACCGATGCTTAACCACCCAGGTGCCCCTCAACATAGTATTCTTATAGCGAACGTGGGCCCCATTTTATTGTGGTTTAGTATCACATAGATTTTGATAGATACACCCATAAGTTCAGGGAAACATGCTGTTGATAAGTCTATCATGCATGTGTTAGGCCTTGCAGAAAAAATTATTTTTGCAGAAAAAAGTCAGGTTCTCCCAGCAGCCAGAGTATGAAGAGCTCACTGTAAGCAAATATGACTTGGGTTATATTGATCTCTAATATGTATAGTTAGAAAGCTTCTGTTTTCTCGTTTCTATTTATTTTTTAAGATTTTATTTTTATGTAATGACTGTACCCAACATGGGGCTCGAATTCACAACCCTGAGATTGAGTCACAGGCTGTACTGACTGAGACAGCCAGGCACCCCTGTTTTTTTTTTTTAATTGGAGTATTTTTATTTTATGTACAATGAGTTGGCATTAAAGTAGGTACCTTGGATATCTGCAGTTAAGGTAGGTTATCTTGGATGACCAATTCAAGGAAGTTCACTTAATCCAACTTAATGAAGCCTATATTTGCGTACTGATGGAAACACTGGCGGCACATACTGAGGCCGTAGTTCCGGATCAGACCGAGCCGGTTTGAGCAGACGCGGCAAGAGCAGAACCCCGGCCACATTTCCTCGGATGGCTCCAGTACAGCTGCTGGTGACCCATCTTGCTCTCTCGGATGCAACAAGGCAAAGAAAAAAAAAAAAAAAAAAAAAAAAAAAAGCCACCCCTATTTTTTTATTTTTATTTTTTTTAAAGAAGGCTCCATGCCGAGTGTGGGGCTTGAACTCACAAACTTGAGGTCGAGAGTCATGTGCTCTACCGGCTTGAGCCAGACAGGCACTCCTGTTTTCTCATTTTTAAAATGAGGAAAATAGGGCGCCTGGGTGGCTTAGTCAGTTGAGTGTCTGCCTTCGGCTCAGGTCATGATCCTGGAGTCCCAGGATCGAGCCCCGCATCGGGCTCCCTGCTCAGCAGTAAGTCTGCTTCTCCCTCGGACCCTCCCCCCTCTCATGCTCTATCTCATTCTCTCTCTCAAATAAATAAATAAAATTTAAAAAAAAAACAAAATAAATAAAATGAGGAAAATACAATTATCTCTTAGGATGGTTGTAAAGATTAAATGAATTCATGTAAAGCATTTAGAGTAATGCTTGGCACCTAATAAATGCTCAATAAATATTAATTGTTAATACTACTGGCATGTCATCTGTTGCATTTAAAGATACCAGGACTGATTGCTGTAATTTGGATGTATATGGCCAACATGATGGTTTTATCACCTACAGTTTCTGATAAGGAGGACCAGTGGTATAGATCTTTAGTCATTCTTTGATTGATGGTCTTGCCTTTGGCATCCTGTCAGTCTACTGGCATGACTCCAAATTAATGTCAAGCCAGCACTAGACTATATTATCTGAGATTGTATGTAGTTATAGCCTTAAGGTAAGAGTACTTACCTGAGACCCATGATTAAGTGTTAGGGGGTCCTAGGAACAGCCAGAAAAGTTTATCAACATTTGTGTGCATATGCATTTTCTTTAGGAAGAAAGTCGTGGAATATTTCATTAAATTCTTTTAGAAGTCTATACCAAAATGAAGTATAAAATCAGTGCCCTAAAATATTCCTCTGGCTTCCTTGCCCTTGCTCCTTATAATAGTAGGTAGGCCCAGGGCTGTGGGCCTCTGTGGTAAAGCTCAGACCCCATAGTCAGGGGACCACATCAGGAAGCATCACTGATCACATGGATCATAAATAAGAATTTATAAAATATGAAATTAACTGCAGACATTTGAGTTTATAGTAACTCTAAAATCACTTCTGGAATGCTACAAATTAAAATGTAAATAGCAAAAAATAACCTTTAACCTTGCAAATTATAATACAGTAATATTTTAAAGGCAGAATTGCTATTGGTACCTGTGATATTGTGATTTATAAAATAAGAAATATATTTGGTCTTTGTCCAGTCCTGGCAAAGAGCTCCTTTGGAATTTCCTAAGTGATGAGCCCTAGAAAGGTGTTTTTTGTTATGTTAATGAGGCGACTGGAAAACACCTAGGTCTCCTAAGGATGGGGGCTGGTTGGGGGGGGGATCCAGTCATGTGATTAGAGGGTTGGAACTTTCAGTCCCATCCCCCAATCTTCAGAGTAGGAAGAGGGGCTGGAGGTTCAACCAATTGCCAATGGCCAGTGATTTCTTCCTTTTTTTCTTTTTTTTTAAAGATTTGAGAGAGGGAGAGAGCACGTGCTTGCACATGCACAGGCACGTGGGGGGAGGGGCGGAGAGAGAATCTTCAAGCAGACTCCCCAAACATGGAGCCAGCAGGGAGCCGCACCCAGGGTTCTATCCTAGGACCCTGAGATTATGACCTGAGCTGAAATCAAGAGTCGGCCTCTTAACTGACTGAGCGACCCAGGTGCCTGGCCAATGGCCAGTGATTTAATCAATCATGCCTATATAATGAAGCCTCCATAAAAACCCAAGAGGACTGTTTTGGGAGAGCTTCCGGGTTGGGGAACACATGGTGGTGTTGGGAGAGTCGGGTGCTCCAAGCATGGAAGCTCCGCCCCCTTTCCCGTACCTTGCCCCACGCATCTCTTCATCTGGCTGCTCCGGAGTTACATCCTTTTATACTAGACCAGGGATCTGGTAAGTAAAATGTTTCTCTGAGTTCTGTGAGCTGCTGTAGCAAATTAATCAAACAAGAGGAGGGAGTCTTTGGAACCTCTGATCTATAGCACAGGTGACAATGTGGACTTGCGACTGGGGCAGTTTTGTAGAACCCAGCCCCTAACTTATGGGATCTGACCTACCTGCAGGTAGATAGTGTCAAAATTGAACGGCTGGTGTGTGACAACTGCTTGCCCCAGCACACGTTGGAATTTGGGTGCAGAACCTTTAGTGATAGAGAATATTGAAAAAGAAAAAATGGCTGGCTTGTGAGAATTGGTTGGCACTAATCTGAGGTGGTGATTTGATTCCAAACGATAATCTGTTCTTTCAACATAGAGCTCCTCAGAGTAAGGATCAGTCCGCTATAACTTCATGTTTCCTCTGAGATTCTCTACTACCACATGCTTCTCTGCTCACAAAGCGCCTTCTGTTGTGGTGTTTATAATCACCTGTTGACCAGTAAGAGATGCTGTATTCAGATGAAAAACATCAATTATTATTCCAGTTAATATTTTCCATTTAGCATTTTGATTTATTAAATCAGGTCTTTGTGAGTTTAATTAGTAGATCCCATTCATCCTTAGGTAAATGGATGACACTAAGTTCTTGCATTTAAAAAAAAAGATTTTATTTTTATTTATTTTTTTTTAAGATTTTATTTATTTATTTGAGAGAGAATGAGAGATAGCACGAGAGGGAAGAGGGTCAGAGGGAGAAGCAGACCCCCTGCTGAGCAGGGAGCCCGATGTGGGACTCGATCCTGGGACTCCAGGATCATGACCTGAGCTGAAGGCAG